CCACTGTCCGACTCTGCTGTCAGCTCTGCAGGCCACCAGTGGACCACAACACATATTCTCCACAAAACTGTAGATGTTATTAAGCCATCAAAGCTAGTGGTCATCACCATATCTGTGGATGAATTTCTTCTGCATATTCATCCATAGTCACAAGTCAAATTAAGGGTTAATTAAGGAAACAATACAATTTCTTAATTATTACTTTCACAGTTAAGAAAACAGAATCCAAATTCAGGAAGGGGGTTGAGATTTTTTTTCCTCCCGCTTAATCAACATTAATCATTGTTAGATTATTGTTATTGATGTTTGCTTAAAATGTACAGTAGCTGATAAGGCAGTTCACTCCGAAGAAATCAGCAAAGCATCTGCTATGAGCAAAGCTTGTTCTAAAAAGAAGCTGTCAGAAATTGCATTTATTGTTTCCCAAGAGAGCCTAAACAAATTGGAGTAATGGTATGAAAAGATATAATCCATTAGATCAAAGAGAGGGAGAAGAAATGAGGACACATATCTTGGCAGACTAGATGATATAAATGAATGAACCCTCAACAAAAAAAATGCCATTCCTGCATAGACCAGCTTTCTGTTTTCTATGCAGTTGTGCTGAAAATGCAAGGCAGCAAATGCAAAAGAATAAATTATGCTAATCTCCAAAGTGAAACAAAAATTAAAGTGACTGGAAAGAATATTCTTCATCTCTTTTCTTTCTCTGTTACCAGAAATGCTGTTGTAAATTGAGATTTTGCTCAGTAGGTTCCACATTTGAAGTGTTTGTAAGGAATTGACTATTATGCCTGAGTATTGCTCCTCATGATTAGCTGAATGGCAGAAGGAGGTTACAGTGCTGTCAGTGCCACCTTTCCTCAAATTATTTATGGCAGTGATTACACTCAAATCAAATACTTAGGAGGAATTTGGTTCACTTCCTCAAAAGTTAAGAGCTTGACCTGTGTCTATTACCAAAATCTGAATTTGGAACCAAGTGGGAAGCGTTATGGCAGAAGTAGAGAGTTCAATCAGAAGAGAGCTGGAAGGCACCTTGGAAGTCTTCTAGTCCAACCCCTTCCTCAAGCAGGAGACCCTATACCATTTCAGACAGGTGGCTGTCCAGTCTTTTCTTAAAAACCTCCAGCGATGAAGCCTCTACAACTTCTGAACTTCCTACCAGCATGCCAGCATTCCTGCCTTATTTTGTAGCAATGCAGACTTCCAAATGCATCAATCAAATTATTGAATATCATGCTAATAAATACAAAGTTACCCTTATTATACCTTAGTGTGGAGTTCCCCAACCTTTCTGGCTTTAGGAACTGATGGGAGGGGAAAAGAGCAACTGGCAAGTGCGTGCAGCTCCATTTGCGCGAGCGGCAAGCACGTATGCATGCATTCACCCACTACTCACACAAGTAGAGATGCACGTACTTGTCCATTGCTTCCACAGCCTGGTTCTAAATGTCTCGTGGCCCATGGGTTGGGGACCTATGCCTTAGTGTCTAATATATGAATCCAGTTATGAGTTTTATTCAGCCTAAAAAGATTACTCTTAATAGGATAATTTAAAATTTATTTTATTTTTGCAAAGATTTTGTTAGAATCTAAGCACAACAAATGTAGTCTGTGTTTGGTCCATTCTTCCAAAAGTCAAAAATTCATCAATAATTGGCCATTACCTTTCTAAATATTACCAAGACCAAATGGCTATGAGTTATCAGCTATCCAGATCTGGCAATATTCCATCATTGACCTTGGATGGGGTTGCACTTACCCTTCAAGATTGGTGTGCAGTCCGGAAATCTTCCTGGATTAGCAACTTCTGTTTAAGAGTTCCACTTTTTTCTAGATTGAGACTAGTTTGGTGGGCTTTAGGTACTCTCTCATGCCCTAGTCGCCTCATAGCTTGATTACTGCCACATGCAGTAATCATGGAGCTGCCCTGAAACTTCAACTGGTACGTAATGCAGCAATTGCAAGCAGTGATGTACATTCCTTAGTGTGCCATGTACATTCCTTAGTGTGCCAACTCTGCTTCACAAGTTGTACTGTTTGCTAGTTTGTTTCTATAAAAGCCTTCATGGCATAAGGCCTAGTTGCTTCTTGAACTGCCAGTCTCCCATAATATCTACCTAGTCAATTTGATCTTCAAGCATTGGCACAATCCAGACTCATTCCATTAAACAATACCATTTCTCCAGGACCCCAGAAGCATGCTTTCTCTGTAGCAGTGCCTTTCTCTCTAGATTAGAACAAGAGGAACAAAGTTCCCTTTGAGATCCAGATGGCCCACACTCTGCTGCTAGTTAGAAGAGCCATGAAGACCTGGTTCTTCAACCTGGTGAGAGAGAATGAGACCCTTGCTTTGTTCCATCCAGTCTGTCATTCTTGCCATCTTTTAATGTTGACATCTTTTATTGTATTATTGTAATTTCTTTGATTGCCGTAACCTGCTCAGAATCATTGGGAGTTGGGCTGCATACATGTTTAATAGGTAATAATTAATGTCTCAATAAACAACAATAATAAAATATTATTTTTGTGAATAAATAATGCAATAATATAAATGTAACATAATTATTAAACTTGTATGCTATCTGACTCCCAATTACTTTCAATCATATAATGTATTGTATAATTAATCTAGGTGCTACTCTAGAAACCAGGAGACTGTAAGTTCTAGTCCCATTTTAGGCATGAGAGCCTGCTAGGTGGCCTTGGGAAGTCACACTGTCTCAACCCAATCACCTCACAATGTTGTTGTTGGGTGTTGGGGGTCAAATAAGAATATTATTTTGAGCTGACTTCCGGTTTGAGCTTCTTCAGCGACAGACCAAAACCTCGTCTCTGCGAGGCTTCGATCCGTGCTCACCGCTGGAGCGCCCCGAGCCGGCTGGTTTTGGGGCTAAGCCACCCTGTAGAGGTGGTGAAGAGGGGGGAGACTGCCAGCAGGGTTGAGGAGAGCCACATCTCTCCTCCCCAGCTGGCCATTACTCCCTTTCCCAAAGGCGGTTGCAGCGGTGGTCAGAAATGGCCACCACAAAGAAGAAATCGACCGGAAAAGAATGTGCAGGAGGAAGATAAGAAGACAAAGTTTTGGTTGACTGGGTCAAACAGCAAAAGCAACAAATAAGGTACCCTGGAATTGAAACTGTTAAAAACGATAACATTGTTCCCTAAGAAGATTTTTAAGCTGCGAAGGAGAGAGAAAAGGGAAAAGATTTGGTTTTTTCCTTTTCCTATAGCTAAGAGACTTAAGCTAAGAGACTTAAGCAAGAAATTGGGGAAAAAATCCATTTTGACATCAATAGGCATTTAATGCTGAAAATAAAAAGTCAAAGGGATAATAAAGATTTCTGGATAATTAAAAGCTTTTGAAAACAGGAAAGGAGTGAAAAAGAATAAAAGGGTAGGATCTGGAAGGGAGGAGACTGCCTGGAATTAAAAAAAAACTTATAGCAAAATCTCAACAAGACTTCCAAAAGATACGTTCTAACTGAAATATCGCAACAAAAACCCCAGGAAGAGAAAGTCGAAAAAGAAATAAAGATATAACTCGGGACTATCTGGATTACTTGATGATTTCTGGATTCTTGGTTATTGTTTTGAATGACTAAAATCAATCGGGTGGTTGTTTAAAACTGTTTAAAATGGCTCCACTTTTAGAAGAACTGAAAATGGAACTTAAAAAGTACAAAGAAGATGCACAAGAAGGGAGAGGTTCTTTTGGCTTCGTATTTCAGTTTTTAGAAATGGAGATTTGGAATTATGAGAAACAACAGGAAATGCCTGCAGAACAAGAAGATTGCGACAAAGAAGAAGCCATCTTTAATGAACAAGTAATCTTAGATGGGGGGGGGGAAGGAAAGGGGGGGAAAGAGAATGGAAAGTTTAAGATTGGGAAAAACAACTCCAAAAAAACATAGAGTGAAAAATAAGTATAAAATCAGAAAGCAACAGAAGAGGGAAATGCAGAAGAGAGAATTAGAACTAGAGAGACAAGGGGGTAAAAAGGGGAGGGAGAAGATGAGAGGGAAGAAAGAAAGGAAAAGAAGTTATAAAGGATAGAAGCAAAATATAGAGAAACAGGGCCCATTTAGAGATAATGGGTGAAAACTTAATGGAAAAAGGGATTCTGCAAAGGTACATAAGATAGTATGGTTATATTAGAAGCAGAAATAATTTTAGAAAATATGAAACAATGTATGATTACAATGTCTGATAAAATAGCTATCGTAATTCAGTGGAATCCTTGTCAATAAATAAACGTAACAAAAGGTATATTTAATGATTTATAAAACATGTGTGAAGAGAAATAAGGGAAAAATTAATTATGGAGATTATATGTGTTTTTAAGGAAGTATGATATTTAATTGAAAAGAAGTGTTAAAGATGTTAAGATTTTAATGATTATTAATGATAGAACTGAACTGGAATGGAATGAGGGTTTATAATTACATATATTTACAATCTTTCTTTTTTTAAAAAAAGAATATAGCGTGTATTATAAGAATGTGTCAAGCAGAATTCGATTGGAAGTTATGTATTAGGTATTATATTGAAGGTCATAAACTTAAGGTATATATTGAAGTTTAAATAAGAGTTGAATGGATGTAATTAAAAGATATAAAGGTGTCATACTCCAATTAGTAACTACAGGAGAAAATTTGTTGCCAAGTTGCCAAGATTGAAAAAACACTGCTGTAGTCCAAATGGTTTAGTTTACAACTTAAATCTATTGTCCTATAAGTGAATGTTTAATAATGGGACCTATAAGTTGCTTGGTAAATAATCTCCAATATCAGGACTGATTTTGGATTTTTGTTGTGCTTTGTTATTGGTCCTGTTCAGTTGCTAAGTTAGGTCTTGACGTCTGACTGTTTACGATCCCATGGACCAGAGCACACCAAGCTTTTGTGCTTGGCAGAGGTTGTTTTATAGATTTATTTGCACTTTATTAGATTTGAAGTGTGTCTTAAACCTTTCCACTTGTGTCTTTGAATTGACAGGGATGCCCTCAAGCTTTTGGAGCAGAAGCAAAAGCCTGTGGAAGTAAAACCCATGGTTTCTTCACTTCCCCCACACCAAGCTAGAATGCCTTTGTCTGCACCATCAGCAAGTGTGCCCATTAGCGCTTCACGTCCTCCAGTTACCCCTGTCTCTGTTCCTGGCCGGCCAGCTTCCATGGTATTAACTTTCTCAGATTTATAGCTATGCTAAGAACACTGCATCACATTATATAAAAGTAAATGATAAGAGTTATACCAATAGGGTTTTAGAATTCAGTTTAGAGTTTTATTTCTTTATGCAACTTAAGGACACACTGATCTATTATGATTCTGGGTGGACTTCAGTGGGAATTGTAATGAATATTTATACAAGCCTTGTAGTTTATATGCCCATGTAGAATGTTCATTTTGATTTAAGAAAGCTATAATTGGCAACATAGTTATTTAGAAAACATTATGTATTAAAACCCAGTTTTTCCACCACTAAACATTATGGTTTAAAGGATGTCCTTTATTGTCATGATCCTATTCCATTGCAATTATCTTTCTTCCTTTAATTTAATATGTAAAATGTGTTTTTATTGCAAGAGCCCATTCACTGAAATCCCTGCTAGCGACACAAGAAGAGTTATTGCTAAGAAACTAACAGAATCAAAGACCACGGTACCTCATGCATATGCATCGGCTGATTGTGACCTTGGTGCTATACTAAATCTAAGGCAAAAGATGGCAAAAGGTAAAACTCTTTCCTATTTTTTAAAACCCAAGTATTAAAATTCTGATCTGTCCAGTCAGCTATGCTGCATTTACTGCCGGGCCTTCTCGAGAATGCCTGTCAAAATTCTGCCTTTGATCTTATATGCAAATGAGTATTTTTGTTTGCGTGTGTGACATCTCTTGCAATCCAGCATTTAGCATGGATAGTTGTTAATTGTACACCTACCCACACCTACCCAATTGTACACCTACCCACAAAAAGAATCTGCAAATTCCGCTATAAACCTATTCACTTGAATGGTTTTACATTTTGAAGGCAGCTTTTGAAGGTTACTGCTTAATTAGCAGCCTTAGGAGGTGCAGAGGGCAAATTCTTTCATTAGTATTCTAAACAGGTACGCTTATTTAAATGATGATGTTTTTCCACTTCAGCCAGCCCTGGTGAGCTTTATGTTTGTTATTTGAATACTTTTTACTCGGTAACACTGCAACTGATGGGAAGACAGAATTGGGGGTGGCAGTGGGGAAGACAGAATTCCAGCTTTTAGTTTTGCAAGAGATTTCTGTTGCTGTGTATTGCTTTGCATAGAGTTTTGAATGTGTGTGTCATATTTTTCCTTAATCCTGATAAGCTATACTCATTATAGCAATTTGGAAGAAAGATACCAGAATTCAGTGTTAATAGTTGGTTATATTTTTCTAGAATTTAGATTTTTTTCCTTAAGCAGATATGGAAAAGTTCATACATAATGAACTTTGGAAGAATTTTAACTGGTTTCAAAATATTATTGATTTAAATTTAGAACCAGAGAAACCACAGACTATCCACTGTTTTCAGAACAGTTACCTCTGCTTCTATCCACGTCAGTATTCTTTGCCTAAGTATGATAGGTCTGCATTAAAAAAAGGTGATAATCATTCATTAAGATATACTGCGAGTGTTGTCATGTATATTTCATTTTTTAAAATATCTGTTTTTCTTTGTATTACTGATATGATACCGTGTTCAAAAATAAAAATTTCCTTTCGTTTCAAAAGTATTTTACCATGATGATATAACATTTGAAAGAGAGAGTTTGTTTAAACCTATTTTCTTATATTGGACTAATTAACAAAATAATAAAAACAGTATTAACAATATAATAATGCAAAAGAAAAATAGAAACCTAAGTGATTAAGTTATAAAGAGAATGTTCAGAATGCTTGCTATATTGCTCAAAAATTTCCTTGCCTCTTTCAGAGATTGACAGCCAAGAATCTACATCTGCATTTCACATGTGTAATTGTATAATTCTTTTATCCAGCCCCTATGTTCCAAATACATACTGTACATCTTGAAACCTTGATAATGTCCAAGCACTGGAGAAAAGCCAGGACAAACATAATGCCTCTTTATTGCACAGCTGTCATCAAAAGTCATATTCACAACTGAATTAGTTTAAATCCAAAATGTGACAGTAATGGGATAGTCCAAACCCTACTAGTTAATATTCCAACTCATGAGTTTCATCTTATTTTCTGAGGTTTGAATAATATTTGTATTGTTTTAATGACCTCATTTAAGATCAAGTGAATTGAATATCATATTATTTAAAGCAACCTTCCACTGGTTTCAGTGGAAAGGGAATTCATCTCATTTGATTAAATGAACTGTGGCTCTGAAAAGTGTTTTTTTAATAAAAATGTCTTGGTTGTACTGCCAGACTCCTTCTTATAGGTTGCATTGATAGCGAGTAAATTGGGTAGGGTCAGGTTGAAGTCAGGTGGGACTGAAATCAAATCAAATAATATCAGTTTCATCAGTTTCCTATTAAGGGAAAGGCTGTTTGCTTAGGAACCATGATTGATTCTTCCATAACTTCCATCCATTATGGAATTTCCAGAAATAGCAATAACATCTGGACCTCATAGAATGTATAACAAATGCTTGAGCTGAATAAAATGCCAAGAAGCACTCTGCAGGAAAACTAATTTATTTTTTTCATTCTGCAAAAGTTGTTTAAAGGCCCAGTTAATCTAAAATATTAGTACTATGAAGGCCCAGTTTACCCAAAAGATAGATTTGTCTGCATTTTCAAAACTGAGAAAATCCCCAAATGTTATATTTTAATGATTATTAAGGCTTGGCTCTATCTTATGATTTCACTATGGTCAAATAATAATTCTTTTGCTGGGAATAGTAAGTCCTTGATTCCATTTAGTGTTCAAAGCTTGCATAACTGCCTTGCGATAAGCCTGAAAGTGTGAAAAGTTAAAGCCACTTTCTATACCTGTTTATAAAGCATAACATATTATCTGTATGTGGTGGAATATAATTCTTCAATTCTTTTATAGCTCCACTTTTCAGTTTTTCAAACAGTAACAAGCAAAAGAGAAAAAAGAAAACTCTCTAACCAGACTAGGCATATCGACTGTTTATCAAGTATTAATATATGAAACTTTCAAATAAAAAAGCTAGTATTAAGTATCATTAATTCGGTGTCAGTTCCATTTTGATTGGCGTATCTTATCTGTTTGTTGTATATAGTTTGGATCATGTGCTTGACTGGGTGGTAGATCATATCCAAACCCATTGATCTGTTAAAGGGACTGTTAATGTTCAAAATCACTAAAAAGCTAATTGGTCACGAGAGACCTTTAATCACCAAACAAGTCCTGTGTTCAAAACGTATGCAGACTACAAATACAGCCAGGCACTTCCTCTTCTGAATTTTGCACCGAACACAGCTCGATGGGATATGGGATCAAATATCTGCAAAAACAAAAAAAACCCTGATCAATATATTGGCATTGATCTCCCAAAGCCCAGAGAATCCAACCAACAAAATGTACAGTTTTAATTCAATCAACAATTTCTGTTACAGTATTTAAAAGCAAAATAACATTCACCCAGTTTTTCTTGTAAAGTACTAATTTATTTGAACCCAGCCATTATACTGAATTGTTGACTTTTGTACGTTCAGATCCTAACCAGCTATATTTGTGGTTGTAGCATCATTTTAAGATGGTAAGAGTTGCTATAGTGAAGAAGTGTGTTAACAATAAAACGATAATACCACATGCTGTAAAATGATTGTGTAATATAGAAAAAGGGATCCAGGGCTGATCTCTATTCAGCTAAAGAAAATAAACTTACTACCGCCTCAAAGTTTAGAACTACCAAGAATTTGTGTGCATCATCAAGCTAACTATTAACCAAATAAATGGTTTTATGATAGTTTTAGACTTTGCAGCTTGCAGTAAAGTTCCTTTCTACTCTCTGTTACCGTTAACCCGATTTTAAGGATTTGTTGATGGCTTTATGTCATTTAAATAGCAGTAGCCCCAAGGCCATCACAGACTAAGATGTCACCTACTTATGACTGAACAGATATAAAACAATCATTATGATTCTTCCACTTCATTCCTGACAGGATTTTTAGTGCCTCTTTTGGAGCTTATTTTCAGACTTAAGAATAGATTTGGAAATAATGGTAGATTGATACATGAACAAATTACGAATTATAAAAAGTTATAATGCGCATTTTTCATTCATTGATTACTTGATTGCTTTGTCTCTCTTCTTAAAATTATGAATTATAACAATAATTTATGAATGACTGTATGAATCATATCTTAATGTTACTAAAAATAACAGTTACACTATGCAGATCTACACACAATATAGTTCTATTAATTCCTGTTCAATTAAGTGTAATTATTACAAAGTTTCAATCTTCTGTAGTCACAAAATTATGTTTGCACATCAGCTGTGTTTCGGTACATAACATTCAAAGGGATTTTATGTTCTATTTTGGTAGAATCCTTTGCTTCTATTATATTTTGTTTAATTTCATTTATATGCTGCCATGCTCTGGATGGTTTACGAAGTATTTAAAATATGAAAAACAAGAAGTGTCAGGTCTTTATATTTTTTAAAAAAAATAATCACACAACACACACATATGTATGTATATTTGCATATAGATTTTTATTTCATCTTACGGTAATGATATTCAAAACAAATGTGATTTTAAGCCAGGGTTGTTTGCATGAAAATAGATGTTAAGATTGATTCTTGGAGGCTTGACGTGTTATTAACCATGGCTTGAAGAAACATTATTTGAAATGAAATAGTTAATGTATCAATTCCACAAAAATGTAGATTGCCATGAATGTGATTTTGCATTTAATGGGGGAGATTGGATCTCTCTGCCTTGAATAACCTATTAAGTCAAGGTTTTACTTTATATGATTTAATTCTGTAATGAAATTTTCTACAGTATGCTTGGACAATCACATATAGATTGCTTGGTCCTTGCATGAGAAAATATCAGGTATCAAGTAAAATGGAATTTTTTTTAAAAAAAAAAATTGAAGCAGGTAATGACAGGCCCTTTCTGCATTGTTCATAGGTGTAGATATAAAGAGGCTGGCCTTGTTAGAGGGAAGATCATTAAAAAGCAATGAACAAATAAGTATGGCTTAAGCCCGTTTAAAGGTACAGATTTACAAAAAGCTGTAGGGCAATCACCTCCCTAATTCAGATGAAAAGGAGGAGGAGGGAGATAAATTCAGATTTGAAAAACTCTTGTTACTATAATCATTCTGATAAAAGTAATTTTAGGCTTTTGTGGTGCCTGTTTCCTGATCCAGTCTACCTTGTAAGGCTGCATTAGCCAAGTACATGAAATCACGATACGTGGGACTCAACCCCAAAGGAAACTTGTATTATGGCACAAATAAATTTTGAATTTCAAATTTGTGGTTCTGTGAAAATGCTACTGTGAAGATAAATCATTGTAATGTGTTAACCATGATTTTCCATGCCTAGAATTCTAGTTGTCCTATTAAATTATTCCTTATAATTTATTTCTCTTTCACACAGATGATGTTAAAGTATCTATAAATGACTTTATTATCAAGGCAACTGCAGTAACACTGAAAGTAAGTAATCAGTCCAGCAAAATGTACACATTTGGTTCCTGCCACCTTAATGATTTTTAAACCTGTATTTTTCTGGGATTATGTTCAAAACCAGGAAAAGATGCTGTAACAGATTCAGTGAATGTTTCCAAGCCAAATATAAAGAACCTTAAACAATTCCTGCCTTGGAGAAAAAATGCAAAATATATGTTAAGCAAATACATCTGCAAGGCTTTTCTGTTTTGTATTTACCATTACATTATAAGATTGTTTTCAACAATCTTTTATAAAATATCATGAGATTTGAGATTATTGTTGTAATTCCTCTTATTAAATATTATGGATCATTGACACTGATGTTGGTGATCGCTGACACCATGTTATCGTTTCTACAATATCCTTCAAGTTTAAGCTAAATATATTTTTCATTTTATTGTTTTCCAACTATTGTACTGTATAATATCTAGCTATATAGGATTATATCCTTTGGTTCAATAAATATTGTTTGTACTGATAAGGGATACAGTCCCTTAGAGAAAGAAACAAATATTCCTTCCAAAATTCCATTTTAATTTCAGTTAACATTGTAGTATTTCCAAGCCATTACATCGATATTAGTATTTAGTATATATATTTGTTTATATTCACATATTGCTATACACTAATAAGATAAGTTCAGTTCAAGATGCAATGTGTTTAGTTGACCTTTATGAAAAAATAGGCAAAATCCTTAAATAAAAGGATTTGTTTCCATAAGTATAATAAAGAAAATTTAATACTGACTTTCCACTAATTCCCATTTTTTCTAACCCATCATTGACATTGATTTTTTATAGTATATTTTAAAATTCCTTAGTCCATAAGGATCTTTCATTTGTGTTGAATTTGATCTTTTATATGGATAAGAGAAAATACTATTTATAACTGCTAAGATACAAGATATAATCATAAGATAAGATATAATGTTTCAATTTCAAACGTTGGAGGATTTTTCAAATAGTTGTGTGAGGGGTTTGCTTTTTTCACAGCTACTCATAGACTGTGAAAATCAATTCTGAATATTGTGGGAGACTTCTTCTATGCAGCATAAATTATGTGGCGTGAAAAATTGTAACCGAAAAGAGAAATTGGCAGTGACTGTCAGTGCATACATTGGTGTGATTAAGGCCTGTGTGGCTCTCATTGAATCAGTGTGGGCTAACGCTTATTAGGAAAATACTACAAATTGAATTGAAGAGTCAGAAATTAGCTGTCTATTTCACTATTCGAGTGAAAGCTCAGAATATTAAAGGAGAAAACCTTTTAAAAACCCAAACTGAATTTTAAAATGTTGAAGAGTTGACTTCTGAAATTAAGGTTTCAAATTAAACCAATCTAATATTTCTCTTTTCAATATTCTTATGTGACTCTCTCCCCCCCTCCCCCCCACTACTTTTTAATTTTTTAAAAAATATTTAGCTCTTTTCTCATCTCCTGATTTAAATGGGAACATATATTCTATAAACCTTCCATTATGTTTTTGGGCAGAATGTCACAGTTCTTTACTAGCAAGGAACAAAATGAGAGTTTCCCTCCAACAAGTTTGAATTCTATTAATAATGTAACCCAGAAACTGCATAAGCCCATCTATTGTGTGGTCGCCTGCAGCTCTAATTGCCTGTGACCACAATTTGCATTCATCTTTTGTGACAAAATTGATATATACTAATAAGATAGGTCTATTTTTAGAGTCAGTTGGCCTTTTTCTTGCTACTATTAACTTGATCTTGCTTAAAGGCAAATCATTTCCCATATGTTATTGCTTCTATCACCGCAATTCTAAAAGGCTTTTTAAAACTTCATAATTGGTTTCACTGCTATTTTTTAACATCTGTGCCTCCCTCTGTTTCTGTTTCTTCCAGCAAATGCCAGATGTGAATGTGACCTGGAATGGAGAAGGCCCCCGGCAGCTGCAGTCGATAGACATTTCTATAGTTACAGCAACAGACCAGGGTTTCATTACACCTATCATCAAGGATGCTGCATCCAAGGGAATTCAGGAAATTGCGGCTTCTGCAGAGGTGTATCTTCAAAAATTGAATTATATGGTTTCTAAGAAAACATCTGCTGTTCCTTTGATTATGTCTTTTTGGCTTGCTTTAAGATAGAGAACAAGATTGTTTTACAAATCTTGAATAGAAGGCAATAACTCCTGTATACTGTTGTGGCACAGTAACCTATCAACTCATTTATGATTCAGGAGGCCTTGATCTAGTGCATGTTAGTATAGAGATATTAGAGACCATTAATAGCCCAATCATCTCTAAACCTGTCCACCATTTAAAAACCTATCAGGGTTCCAGAAAAATACAAATCCAATTAAAAACTCAAGAGACAGGCATTTTCTCAAAATTTCCTTTTATTAGAGTAGTTATACTGGCACATCTGGGAAAACCTGAATCTGAGAGTTCCGGGTTTCCCCTTAGAAATTCAAAAGACAAAACCCAACCCCTGCACCTATCAGTCCGTCACATGGTCCAATCACCAACCATTCCAACTTGAGACATCCCTTCAACCATTCCTCCTCCAGGTGCAGGAATAACATGACCTTGACTGAAAAGAAGAATGCTATTATGTCTAACTACCAACACTCTAAAAATCCCCCCCTCCTACTTTCCCAAGCACAGGAATGTGGCAGCGTGGAAGCTTCTGGTACTAATATGGCTTCCAAAGCTGACAAAACCATCTAAACCTCTCTCCCTATTTGTTATCTCTGCCATCCATTTTATTTTAGTATTATCTAAATATTCTATATTGTGAGAGATTAGCATAATAACAAATTCATTACCACTATATTTAAGATTACTAAGATTAATTTTCTCAATACATATTCCTTTTAATATTCTGTGACTAAATATAGGTTATGTCAATATTGATAATTAATGTACATTTCTAGCATAGGCATAATATGCTTTGGTAAGAGTAGACGTTTAAGTGTAAGCAAATAGTCTATTCTAAGAGTAGAGTCGTATACATTTATGTTAACGTATTATAGTTTTCACCAAAGCTGAAAAGAATATTCATCAGTTTGCACATATTTACATTTGATAATGGTTTATCAAACCCCAAGTATTTTACATGAACATTTGGAAGCTGTTTTGTGAGGAACAGATTTCTAATATTATAATTAATGAAATCCCCTGTTATAAAAAAATCTGTTTAATATCCTCAGCTGTATGAACTGTTTAAAACTTTCCAAAATCCTAAAAAGACAAATTTAGAAAAGCCCTTTAGTTGGAGCTGCGCAGCTGTGAACTCTATGAGACATTCTAGAACAAGTTATCCAAGTTTAAGATGGCAATTTTCCACTGATGGAATGTGCCCATCAATTTAAAAAAATAAGTGTCTCAAATTAGAGTTAAAAGATTTTCCTAAAACTTATAATCAAGGAATATAACCTAGGAAAATCTATGGAGATTCTCATTCATCCAAGTCATGGTTGTCCCAAAGATGTTTTTTCAAGAGACAATTGGACTTACTTGTTTTTCTTCGAAGACATTTCATCCAAGAAGCTTCTTCAGCTCTGACTTTGGGTGAGAAATGATGGGCCTGAAGCTTCTTGGATGAGAAGCAAATTGACTTCAAAGAAAAACAAGAAAGTCCAGTGCCTCTTGAAAATGCATCTTTGGGACATCCTAGGAAAACTGGGCTTTGTTTTTTCAAAATAGCCATCTGGGGTTCTTGCTAGGCTGAAGAGCATTTGTAGTCTTATGAAATTAAAAATTACAGTAGATACTCTTTGAAAGTATATTTTGTGGGATCTGGGGGAACTTCTGTAAACTTCCATATTCCACAAAAGAACTTAGAAGAATTTAATATTGAAAAATGGATCAGTCATAATAATTTCTTCCTTTTGAAATGAAACATTGTGAATTGTGGCATTGCATCTTTATACCTCTAATTTCATGAGGCAAAGGTGATGATACTTATTTGTTTATGGAAGATGGCCATCAGTCTTTCTTGAGATAACATCTAAGTCGCATGACTCCACAAATCATCTGCCTCCTTCCTGATTTCTGAATAGCTTGCAGAGAAGGGATTGTGAACATGCCAATATTTGTCATGCTGCTTTTGCAGGAACTGAAAGATTTAGTCTGTTTCCCACATAGACCTTCAAAGCAAAATGTGTCTGTTTTATCAAATTTAAAAATGCTGTTCTAAGAAAACCAGTTTATTATATAAAGTGTGATAAAAATTTAATATCAGATATAAGGTGTATTAAATTTAGATGCTTGTGCCCACTCCAATTGATTAGCACTCTCTTTGACTACAAGTTCATTGCTGTGCTATTAAATACGTTGTTCAGGGGACACATTTTAAGAAATTGGCAAAAATTCAGTTCAGTTTCCCATTAATTCACATATACACATTCTGTATTTTGAACAAAAAATATTCCAGAAATCAAAAGTTGTTTTATCATGTGATTATTGATTGAGTTATTTTACTTTGATATTTAAAAAAACAATTACAAAGTGCCTATTTTGTTGTTCTCTGTGTTTCAGCACTAAGTTGATTTTGGAACAGATCAATAAAAGAGCATTTGGATAAAATTGTAAATTGGTAATAATGCCTATATCACAAACATTTGGATCGGTGTGGCCCTAGGATCCCTGGGGGTCTCCTAAGACCCATCCAGAGGTCCGCAAATTCAAAACTATTTGCCAGCCTATGTTGAAAACTACTACAATATTAAAATTTCATCAAACAATAGTAACTACTGCAATTAATGTAGTAATTTTTTTAATATAACAAACATTGATAGATATAACTCATACAAACAAAAGCTCTTAAGCAGCCCTCCGTATTTTCCTAAAGTGGGAAAGTGTCCTGAGAGAAAAATGTTCAAGAAACACTTATCTAGATAATTCTTAATTGCCATTCATTTGAAACTTTAAAATATCTCCTATAACTATCCTATTTTTAAGCATTCAGAAGGCAGTTCTACTGTTTAATTCTGAAGTATCTAAATATGGTATATAAAATTACAACACATCATTTTTCATGAGTTTTATTCCCTCTTGGGAGAAATGAATTAACACTGAATTATTTTCACCTGTCTGTTTTGAATCATGCTGCAAGGCTTACATTTTTCTATGACATTTGCTATGATGTCTGTTGCCATTTGGTGGGATTTCCTGTTAATATAAAAATGTAAATTTATAGTTACAGCAAAGTAATTCCTTTTTGAATTTCTAGATTCTGTAAACAAGACAATGATGGATTTTGAATAACTACATATGCTCTCCATAAGGCAACATATGTGGAATTTTAAAAAGCAATTTAAGAAATCTCCTTAGTTCTGCTTTACACACAGTTTTTTTTCCACATGTGAAACCCGTTCCCAGGAGATCCAAATATGACTTCTAACTACCTCTCATAGATTGTAGCAACTGTCTGACTCTATCAGAATTTTCTCATAAAATTAGCAACCCAATTAATGTGCACAAAGGCATGTACTTTGTTGAAATGATTATTTAAAATAATTCATATTTGGATTTTATTTTCTTAGGCTTTAGCAAAGAAAGCAAGAGATGGGAAGTTACTTCCAGAAGAATACCAAGGAGGATCTTTGAGGTAATTTAAATACATTTCAGAACAGAATGCCGGGGAAGGGGTTGGTGGTGGAGATGTTTGAGATAGTCTTTGTAAACCTCTTAAGCCTATGTTTTATAATCCCACCTCCATTATAAGGTCTGTAAACAGAACAATAAATGGAGGTTGCTTATCTATAAATAAGTACTGTTATATTCTTTTCTGTTTTTCCTGCTGTATTTTGAGGATGCTGTCAAGTTGGTTCTTGAAGTTAATTATCTAGCCTTTCAGTGGACGTTCAGCAACTTTAATAATGCTTTAGGTGTATTATGAAATCATAATATCTGATATTTTATAACATTTGGAATCTATTACTGTATTTGGAGTATAGCATTGGATTATTGGGATTGTTAGATTCATGAAAATGATTCACTGATAGTAAAGCAAGTCAAAATACTTTTAAGGCTGACCCTAAAAAGAGGCCAAAAGACTTGGCATTTTTATTTGTCAGTCCCATGAATCTGAAATAACACTATGTAGAACTAGCATAACTGGGAGGAATGACATTTATGCTAGATCACTGAATTGGAAACCGGTTAGCTTCAAACTGGAGATATTTTGAGTAAATTTAATGAATTTAATTAACCCTTAATTCTTCAGTGCCCTTATACAGTACATATGGCTGAAGTGGTTCAGGGAAATATATTTCTACATATCTAATATTGCAAGAATGGAAAACTGCATCCAGCCCACATTACGTTACCTCTCATGCTTGGTAGATTTGTTGAGCATGGGATCTTAAGGAGAGAAGACATCTCCCCTGTTTGCCCTTCACTGGTTATTTTCTTGAATAAGATAGCAGCTGCAAACTTCCAAGTGACCAGGGGTAACAGGAAGTAGTGCTTAGAGCAGGTCAAGCTCATGTCATGGTGGTGTCACGTGACATATCGGGGCTTTTTCCCCCTTCGCTAAACTGCTGGTGGGTGTGGCCAGCACATGATGTATCCAGCCCATGGGCTGGGAGTTTGACAGCCCTGGCTTAGAGGTACAAGAAAAGTAACAAAACTGGAGAAACTCCTCTTGTGTCAACATCAACCACATCTTACCTTTCCTAAAGAGATAAATTGTGTTGGACTGTTATTAAAAGTGAAACAAGGCATTGTGTGGCAGTTTTCTTCCCTTCAGAAAAAAAGGCACCCTTTTCTAATGGCATCTGATTTCCTTTCCAAATTGACTCAAAATGAGAAATTAGTGTGAGTGTAGTGTTAAGAAAAAAACAGTTCCTCTAAAGGAGATCTTCTGTACATATGGACTTTTAGGGAAATAGAATGCTGTTTTGTTTCATATCTTCTAAATCTTGATGGCAAGAATATTGCATATTTAGAAAAATGTCAAAAAAGTAGCAGCGTTTTTATTAGAGTTGCCATGTACAGTTTATAGAAGAGAAGATGGACCTTACCTGGCGAGGGGAAGATCATAAAACAGATTTGCAGAATGCTTACATTAAAACAATGAAGTGTATTTCACTATATTTTAGGGCTAACACCATTTTATCAGATTTCCTAGTATTGATTCTGCTGCAATGGAACAAGCAAGGCTGCTTCCAGACACCCTGAAATCCTCCTGATGGATATTTTTCCTCACCTCATTAGATACCAGTTTTGTAAAACCACAATACGACATTGTATCCTTGTAAACAAAAGAATCATTTTTGCTCAAGCTGCAAACAGTATAAAACAGTATTTAATTCCCATGCCAGAGTTTAAACTGTATGCATTCAAAGTAACTTACAGTTTTAAATGAGTTCAAAATCATATCCAATATTGGTGAGCTGAATACTATCTGTACATTTCAAAATCTTTAAAGGTTTGTATGGGATATGTTTGCTTTGTTTGCATACTGGTGTTAGTACCCATGGGTTACTTCTTCAAGTGAATATTTTGTGTTGAGTCATTTGATCAGTAGTTCCCAATCTACCAGGTGGACGCATGTTTAGGATCCCTCTGTGTGTGTGTGTGTGCGCGCGCGCGCTCTGAGGTTTTATTTAAACCAGGGGTCTCCAACCTTGGCCACTTTAAGCCTGGAGGACTTCAACTCCCAGAATTCCCTAGCCAGCTTTGCTGGCTGGGGAATTCTGGGAGTTGAAGTCCTCCAGGCTTAAAGTGGCCAAGGTTGGAGACCCCTGATTTAAACTATATCAATGATTGCTTGACTTCTGTAGATGCCATACACTAAATAAATAAAACAACATCTATGCTAATGACTCAATAACCATTATTTCATCACATGGAATTTTGAACTAGTTCTTTCCCCCCAAGGTACCCTAACTCTTATGTTGATGAAGAGTGAGACTGCTTGACTGTTCTGTTCAAAACCAAATTCAAAATCCAGATTTAATCATCACAACATATTTATTTCTACCTACGTGTACTTAACAGTTTCTGAATTATTTTTCCAGAGTATCTTATTTTTCTATTTCTTGTCCTTTTCCCAACAAAAGCATCTCAGATCTTGGAATGTTTGGTGTCAACAGTTTCATTGGTCTCGTAATACCTCCTCAAGCCTGCATCTTAGCAGTGGGAGGATCTCGGACAGAACTCACTGTTGTGGAGGATGAAGATGGGAATGAGAAGCTTCAACAACATCAGCTCCTAACGATAACTCTGTCAAGTGATGGTCGAGTGATCGATGATGAATTAGCTTCTAAATTTTTAGACACACTCAAGGCAAACTTGGAGAATCCAATGCATCTTGCTTTGTGTTAAAAGATCAAGATTCCATCCTGTGTTTGGCAAAATATTTAAACTGAATTCCGAAAGAAAGAAAAGGCACAGAAGCTAGGAAAATATGTATAGTGTGACATGGACAACTTAAGCTGCTTATTTATTTAAATAAACTTTAAAAGATGTTTAATGATTTCTATCTCTTGGCTTTTATATGTTGAAGTAGTATTATGTATGTTACGTCTACAGAACTGGTTCAGAATAATTTTAGAGTGTATTCTAATATAAATGGGTATTGCCAGTATACCATATAGAACTCTTGGGTAAGATTGAATAGATGTATAAAAATACTAAAAGGAAAGAAGACTTAACTTCCTTCCTAAACTTTTATCTAGGCTGAACACAAACTGTCTAACCAAACTGAAATGGCAAAATGTAATAGATCTGAGTCAACAGTGTTGCTGTTTAATTTTTTTTTAAAAGCAGTTAGGATAAGATTCAACTATAAGAATCTGACTATATGAAGAATTCTCTGCATACAATAAATACAGTGACTAATAATGATAAATAGTTCTGAGAAGAAAATGCAGGGTGCCAAAATTCAATTACATAACAATATTAAACTTAAAGTACTTAAAGTACATTCCACATTATCCTTTTAAACATGTTTTCTACCTATAGTTCTTGGTAATGTGATATATATTATTGTGAGTTTTGAAAACAATGCTTTCAGTATGAACTTAGATATTTGCAGTGGAACTGGTGGCATTGGATTTTTCTTGTGGCAGTGCTTCCAGCCATAACCTTGGGACATCATATAAAGAAAGTTTGCGCAAATTTCATGGACCCATTCCTCTTCTTCTATATAAAATAGGCTATAACTTTCAGGCGAACAGGACTGTTGCTGCTTGTATGTAAATATGATTGTATGTTTTCAAGTGCAAAAGTAATACAATTTTTAAGAGTTCCCATTAGCCTACATTGAATGTTTAAATATAAGTGGTTGTTATTATATTTTATTTGAATACACAGAATTAAATTTCAACTAGGCAGTTCAATATGGAAAATACTTTTGCTGTCCAAACGTAACTTGTTCATTGTGTCCATATTTTAAAAGGTGTATTTATTCTTGATATTCAAGGCACTGCATATGGAACTCAAAAATTTAATCAAACTATGACTTTAACCCTTATCCCCACCCTCATTCTTGTATGAAATATCTATCACTCAACTTCTATATCTGCTGAATTTGGAATTGAGACTCATTGACCTTAATGGGATTGTCTTCTGGACAAGTATATATAAGATTGCTTTGCTATTTACAACTACCAGATTTACTGAAACAATTTCCTCAAATCTTTTCAGTGAAGAGCCATGAGGGTTTTTTAGCTTTATAATTACATAGTTACTAATGAAATACAGTATGTCTTTGCATATTTGCTGCTAAATTTAAACATTCAAGCTCTAACTGAAGTAGCTTCATCTAACTACATTGAGATAATATTCTGCCTTAAAACTGTACTCTTTGCAAGATTTCTGATTCATGGTAGAATAAAAGAATGTTCACATTACAAGCATTTCTTTTGGGCTTAATTGGTTTGCACTCTACAGTTACCACGAGGAGTATTCAGTGCTGTTAGCAAGATTTCATCTAGCATAATTACGGCTCGGAAATAGGCTCCCAAAGGAGAGAGAATCATTCCTGTTTGGGAGAAAAATTATCAAGCTTAAAATAATAATTGTTTAGTAAAATAGTTTTGCTTTGCCTCAGTTAAACATTTTCAATGTTTTTAAAAAATCTTTTTAACATTTATTTTTAATAGGTGTATCCTCTTTTCTCTTTATTGTTTGAAAATGACTTTCTGCGTCCTAGTTCCATAACAACTGGGCCTATGCAAATTTCTTCGTGACCAAAGCAAATTCTTTGAATAATCAAGTTAAAACTCTCCTCACCAGTTGATACAGCCTACAGCCTGAGGCTGTACAGATTTGTCCTAACTGTAAAGCTAACAAACTACTTTTAGAAATATATTTTATACATTTATAGACATTTATATACATATCTTCTCTTTACAAGCCCATTTATAGCAATGTTGGAAATTTCATATATATATATCTGGCATCTTTCTTTTTACATGAAACTATTGTCTGGTTTATAAAACGTACCTAAGATATAGTGTGGTTACATTGAATGCATTATTAAAACTAAGTGCATGGACAAGATTGTGAGCAAGTGGGAGAGCTGCACTTGACAATCAGATCTTCTTCAAGGGCCATCAGGATGTTGGTGACTTCTCCTTTAGATTATTTGGACTAATGGCTAGTATAAAAAGAACAACGAAGGATACTGGAATTTTGTAAAACTCTTATGGCTCACGGGCTTTCTTTATTCCTGACCCAAAAGGGAATGAGCAGGAGAAGGATTAGCCTACCCATTTGCAGTTGCTTACATTCCAAATATCCTATATTATTTAAAACCAAATGGGAAAGAAACCCTGAAGCTTATCTGAACTACAGTCCAATTGTAAGCCATATATTGCATGGAAAATACCTTTGGTTTCCCTCTGTACCCAATAAACACCATTGAGTTGGGGTCAGTTCTTAGCAACCACACAGATTTTTCTCCAGCAAGATCTTCCACAACCTATTTTTCAAGTCTTCTATATTTCTACTCAAATATATATCTTTTGATACATATGAACTTTCAATTGGTACAGTCCTGTATCAATTGAAAAAACAAAAACATTGAAGCCTTTAGAAGGAGTAAATAATTGAAATTGATAGGTTACTTTCAAATGACTTGCTTACTGAAAATAAATGCGTAGAATTTAAACAAAGGCATTTGCTTATGAAAGCCTGTTGTATCTGGCTTTTTAATTTAATTGAAATTAAATGAATTGAATTTAAATGGATTAATTTCTAATTACTGTTCTAACCACTTTAGGTATGCATATACATACATACTTGCATGCATGCATATAAACATACATAATAAGATTGCTTAGGTTACTAGCAGTTGGGAAATTTAATTTCTGCTATTCACCTTTAATTATTGTAGTGCTTATGCCACCTGTAGCTTTATAAGATTTTTTTAATAGCAAAAATCTCAGCACCATGTTCTCTGAATTATGCCAAGCCATCGTTGGATATTATTCCTCTTAATACTAAATTGTAAGTTTCAAAAGCTTCCAAGAGACAGAGTATTTGTTGTTTTGCTTTGTTTTCAGGTCTCGCTAATGGTACAATGAAGGCTACAACATGTATCACATTATTTACTTAATAGAAGGATTTGTTTTATGTAATTTTATTTGAAAAATCTTAAATTTGCAATACGATAAAAATATGCACAATGAGCACATGACCACAAGGATGCTGTAATGGTCATAAGTAAGAAAATGGTCGTAAGTCACTTTTTTCAGAGCCGTTGTAATTTTGGTAACTAAATGAACTGTTGTTAGTTGAGCACTATCTATTTCTATGGAGGATAGATTTTTTAAAATCTTTTTAAGTATGAGTGGGTGGGTGAGTAGGAAGGAAACAATGAAACATGCTGCCTGCCATTTTTTTTCTTTAGATATTTTCTTTGGCTCCACATTATGGCTTCTTATCCAACCCTTCCGTGATTTATTTTTGGTAGGTGGGATAAAACTACATACCTTACAATTATTAGCCAATTTGGTTTGTGCGTGCTTGTGCATATACCACAGAAATTAGTCCTTATTGCTGCTAAAATAGATCGCATGCACCAGATATCCTCAAAGCTCAGTGTATACAAGAGGCAGGAAGGTATTTGGGGCATGATTATTTGGCTTGCATGACAGGACAAATCCCCTTGCAAGTAAAAGGAATGAACTGAAAATTGTGCCTGTCTTGCCAATTCAAATCTGGCTACCATATACATTTATAAATAAAAATATGAACTTCAAAAGACAAGTTATTTGTTTTTGGCTCTCTTTCTGCTACACTTCTGTAATCCATAGGTCACCTTGTTCTATGTGGGCATTTTCCTGTAAACTGCTTATTAGCATAGCAATAGCATTTAGACTTATATACCGCTTTACAGTGCTTTACAGCCCTCTCTAAGCGGTTTACAGAGTCAGCATATGGCCCCCAACAATCTGAGCCCTCATTTTACCAACTTCGGAAAGATGGAAGGCTGAGTCAATCTTGAGCCTGGTGAGATTTGAATTGCCAAATTACAGGCAGCCAGCAGAAGCAGCCTGTAGTACTGTATTCTAACGACTGCGCCACTGCGGATCTTATTAATACTCTTCTTGTACGCTTCATATTCATGGTCTCTGGTTTCAGGGCAATTGATTTGTTTTCCTTTTACTCTCGGGTCCTGTTTAATCAGGCAGTAGTTTCTTCATACTGCCATCATCATTCATTTTCGGTAAAGGATGAATCAGTACAGTCATTACTGTGTCTGCTTCCAGTCAGGGACTCATCTGCTTTTCTAGACTCTGCTGCTAGTCATTCATTGTTTATTTTACCAAGAGCCGGTATCTTACAACACAGTGCTGGGATTTCTCTCTTATCTCTCTGCTCGTGATAAAAATTGATGAGAGTGCCTATTGTGTCAATGATTTAAAACTCTCTCATAGCCTTGTTGCAGTTAAAATGTTTCTCATTTTTGTTCCCTGTTGCATCACTCTGTTTTGAGTAGAATTTAAGATTGAACTGAGTAGCTTCTAGTTACTTTTTTAAACTGAGAAACAGTCTTTTCCGTGTAATTAAATATGCTTCACCAGTACAAGCAAAACAGACATTTGAAAATAGCAGATCAACTGTAGAAAACATTCCTAGAAATACTGTGCAGCATCAAGATCAAGTGAAATGATCATTGTTCACTATTATATATTAATCGGACCAACTAGAAACTGGGCACCATATTTTTAGAAGAACATAGACAAATGAGAAGCAAGTCCCAGAAGACCAAGCTCATATTGGACCTGGAAGGTACAACTTAGGACAATTGGTTAATATTACTGTATATGTTTAGCTTGGAAAAGAGAAGATTGTGGGGAAGCGTATTAATTGTTTCCAAGAATCTGAAGGGCTGGTTCATCTGTTTCCTGGACTGAGATGAGGAAGAAGAATGAGAAAATTATTTAGCATGGACGTGCATTGCAACTTATTGTAGTGAGAAACAGAGACTTTCTATGATAACCCTCAACAAAGAGCACAAGATGACCCATAATTGGTGATATCACAGTGGAGTGAAATATTATCTCATGGTCTCAAGCTTCAGGTATTTCTTTACAGTTCAAATTCCATATATATTACAGTTAAAGATAACAAAAAAGTTGCCTATGCTACATATACCGAATAAAATAACCTATAATCGTTATAATCTGTTCAAAATATCATTTGGTAACTGCTTCATGATGGTTGCCTTCAAGCAAAATCTCAAGTTACATAAGTACAAAGAGTGGAAAAGAGCCCACCAAGGTTGTGTGCAAAAGTTTGGATATATTGGAGCTGTGCAGAGATTAGCCTGGGCGTGTATATGTAGCACCTGTAGGGAGCTCTTTGGAACAGCTGTAGCAACTAATGTGCAATCCTGGGAAAAATTGATTTTCTTTGAGCTGTTTCCAAGAGATGCCATTTGCATATCCCCATAGCCTTCCAATCTGGATCTCTGCCCACAGGGCTCTATTACCATTTTGTTAACAAGGCAATGTCTATGTCAAGAGCGGGAGTGGGGAGTGTTGTGGCTGGAAGTAGTGGTGCAGCTGCTTGGATGAACTGACATGGGTTTGCTCACACTGAGCTGGCATCCCCTGGTAGAAGGAGGCTCTGGAGCAAGAGTGATGATCTCATTTGGAGGGTGCCCATTGGGAAAAATGAAGTCAGAAAGGTATCTTCCATTGCAGCTTCATAAGAAGCTTGAGCTGCAAGTATGGACTGGCATTATGTCGAAACCAAGCAACAAGTTTGATTGGTCAGACTTACTCAAAAAAAATTGGCATCCAGTCACTTCAAGGGGGTAAGGGGTAGCCTCAGCATCAGAAGAGCTAATTATTTAACTAATTGGTTTAAATAAGGCCCCTCTCCCAATTAACAAGCATTTCCCTGCCCCTCAACCACAATCCTGTAGCACAGCCCTAATGTATGTCTGGTCTTTCATTGCAATATGTTATGTTTTGGTTTCAGTGATGGAGGATTAACCTTGATCCTTTGAAAATTGAATCTCTTCATTTCTGTCTAACAAAACATGGAATTTTTTAAAATAAATGCAGAATGATTTATACAAGAATACATTATGGTAAGGTGGAAGGTTCCTGAGGTATTAGAGCTAGCTTTTATTTAAATGGGTTGTTGATCACATTTTTGAACAATTTCTATATTTTAAAAATGCCCTGCACCTTAAGAGTATGGGAAATAAGAACAGAATAAGAATAGGGCAGAACTATTCGTATTTCATCTTGATGATTTGCAAGCAACATAGTCCATATAAAACCAGTAAAATGAAATTACTCTCTTGAGTCTGGAGTTGTGTCTTTCATATTCATTCA